TTTAGTCCACTTCGAGGAAGTTCCAATGGAGAAAAACTTAAATGTTTGTATAATAGTTACAAATTCGTGTGAATATATGATGCATGCATTTGTTATATAGGCAGTACATAATAAAACATATATGTAGTTTTGAAACTGTTTCCAATGATAATTGTCTTAGATAAGTTTCCAGATACCTCTGTATATAGATATATATATATAATGTAGATATTGTAGTCTCCACTAAAAATAGTATACGTTGCTAACTTTTGAAAAAACAAGGTTTTTAAAAGCGTAACTTGAAAAAACAGACGGTGTTTGGTTTTTAGAACCGTAACTTTACAATGATACGTTTTTTTTTAATCTGTGACTTGAAAAATATACGGTTTATAAACCGTAACTTGAATAAAATACGGTTTGACGGTTTTTGGTTATATGATATCAAGGTACGGTTTTTAAATCCGGGCTAAATGAATGTTATTGCGTCCCACTGGGTTGGCAGCTCAGTAAGCCCCTATAATTGACTTCCAAATGTATGTATGAACCTATATATAGAAAAGGTAATTGTTAGTAATGTGGACTGATGATCTTATTGCTAGCAATGTACCCTATCAGGTTGTCCTCCACGCGGTTCCCCCTGGAAACCATCGTGATAAATTCCTGGTGAATTTGTCACGATGGCCTAACTGACCTGACCTCGTGCTCATCTTATCATCCTCCACTGGTGCCCTCCAGCGTATACCGTTAGCGTTGGTGCACCATTACATTGACATCGTAAAAAAAACCTATATATATTTTATATATACATATTTGTAAATTATAATGGAACGGTGCACCTGCGCTAACGCTGGTGATGATGATGATGAGATCAGTGGAGGATGATAAGATGAGCATAAGTTCACCTCACTCAGGATTTGTTATAGTGAGAAATACATCAGTAGTTTCTTGGTAGCGATGGGGACAATTCCCCATTACTAATAGTTGCCTCCCCTTCTTATGTAAATAGTTGGTAATATAATAGTTCATTATATGTTTATGGTAGTCTACTACACGTGTCTTCCTTGACTAGTACTATAGGTTGAATTACAATGTTCACTTTGGGGCCATCCGTATATCTTTTCTAATTTTCCCTACGTCCGTCCGTAATCCGTATATTAACTACGTTTGGTATGGGAGGGAGAAACCCCCTGTCACAGTGTCACACTTGTGGCAAGACGTAAGTGTGACATTAGTGACGCTATATTATAATTATGTCATGAATCATGTTGGACAATTTAAAAAATACTCTATTTGTATGATTATAAGGTTCAGTTTGCTTTGTTTGCGTAATGTGTGACGTCACACCGAGTATGAGGGAGAGGGGAGATATAAAATGTATGTATGGACAGATTAGGAAATATTCTAAGTATATGATTAAAGGGTCAGTTTACTTTGTTTGAGAAATACGTGACGTCACACTGAGAATGAGGGAGAGGAGAGATATAATATTTATGTATGGACAATTTAGGAAATACTCTATGTATATGTTTATATGGTTCAATTTGCTTTGTATGTGAAATATGTGACGTCACACCGAGGAGAATAGAATAGAATAGAAAATCCTTTATTCAAATAAACTTAATTTAAGCACTTTTGAATAGTCATAACAATTTTTTTCAATCTACCGCTTATTCGGAAAGCTGTCTCATCACAAGAAGAACGAGCAAGAAACTCTTTTAAATAATACTTGTAAGTTCACATTTTTCAAGTCGAAACGTGTGAACACAAACTACTAGAGTGAGATATATTAAAAAATATGTAATATACGGATGGCCCATTGTATGTTTGTCTATCATATATGTAATGATTTTTAATCCATAGACAAAATGAATACGGAATAAATGTGTATTTGTAAATATTATAATATTTTTAAAATTATATAAGTTAGAAATAGTTTGTGTATAAATTGTAATTTTATATTTATAAGACAATGTTTATATTGCCTTACAGTTTGTTCTGTCGCTTACTACCTTTGGTACTACCGTCCATAAATTGCGTGAGCTGTTTTTTTTTTTATTTTCTGTCGCTCCCTTACGACTACTTACGGTGAGATGACTCAACCCCGAATCTCACGTGAGATTTCTCAAAATGTGGGTTTCTTACGTAAACGCGTTGGATTGTTATTGTAAAAAGAAAAAATTGCTTCATGCTTTTATTTACGACTAGTTAAGATCAGTAATCAATATTGCTGAGAGTTATAAGTGTAATAACCATGCACAATCTGGATTCAATGGACCAAAATAGAATATTTTTTTGTATCAATCAGAAAAAATTGCTGTAATTTGCCGGGACCTCATTAAATGAGATTTGACCCGACCCCCTCCCCATCACACATCTCACGTAATTTATGGCCCCCCTTTCTATATCCAGGATCCCAAAGTCGCGATTGTTATTTTTCTCATGAAGTTAATATGTAAGATTATTTTACAAATCAAATCGTAAATTATTTATTCATGTAGGACATTTTAGCCGCTTGTGAACGTCAAGTTCAGAGTACAGATTCAATTGAGAAGAACTAGCAAGAAACTCAACTGATTTTCTTTTATTTTAAACGCCAGTATATTTAGATTTACTGATTTTTTTTGAAAGTCAATTTAGGTGTCTATGTCTAACATTAAATGAAAATCCCGTACATGAATATCTATTGCCATGCACCCTCGTCGTTCAAGTAATCGTTTAGTGAATTATATACTCGATCACCACCACTCAGAAATTAGCTTTTTTTAATGCTTGATAATGGAATGGTGCACCCGCCTGTGCTAACGGTATACGCTGGCGGGGCACCAGTGGAGGATGATAACATGAACATGAGGTCAGGTCAGTTAGCACATGCGGACAGACAGATTCAATATTGATTTTTAACCATGTATGGAAAGCATTTGTATTGTGACATTCTGTATATAAAATCGATTGTATTCTTTAGTATAGTAATCGATTAAAAATATCGATTTTTGTATACTCGATTATTTTTTTATATATCTAGTTGACAGTCAATTAGTTTAATAAAATATATATAACTAGCTACTAGCCCCGGCTTCGCACGGGTGTACATGTATTATATATATAAACCTTCCCCTTGAATCACTCTATCTATTAAAAAAACGGTTTCAGAATCCGTTGCGTAGTTTTAAAGATTTAAGCATACATAGGGACGGACAGACAGCGACAGCGACTTTGTTTTATACTATGTAATGATTAATAATACTGTTTTATGAATCACACAGGTCTGAAATATTGTAAATTATGTGACAAATTGTAAATTTTAATTATAAATTAAGTTAATTATAAAATAAATAATGTGTAGCTGTTAGTTTATGTGTGAGTTAATTTGTATTGATAATGTAATAAAGAGAACTTAATAATACCAGATTGGTTAATAATTATTAATAAAAAAATTGTGCTGTACCGTTGGTTTTTTTATAGAATAGAATAGAAAATCCCCTACTTCTGGTCGAGTGGTATCTTGAGCATTTTTTTTAACCACGCCATATGGTCATAGTGGCGTAGGCGTATTTTTTTATTTTTTATTAAATTGTTTGGGCTATTGTCAGATGTGTAGCACCTGTAGCACTGCGACCTACATAGATCTATTGTGCTCGCCCTTTTCAGAGTTCGCTACCTAGACCCGTCAGGGACAAGAATTGAAGGATATTGTTAGGAGCGATCGTTTTTATCTCCTCGGAAAAGAGTGTAAACTTTCCAAAGGAGATATTTCGTTAGCGTAGGCGTAACTAAAGTACCATCCTGATCATCTGTATGAATGGCGGTCCTCCACGCCGCTCATCAGGTATGTGGTCCAGAGCCAGGTACCTGTATGTTCACAAAAATGTTAATACATTCTCAGTAATTCTTCGGGTTAATACCAGCTGCTGAGTTTCACCACCGTACAGGATGGTATTTCAGTTTCTGGCACCCGCCAGAAACTGAAATACCATCCTGATCATCTGGATGAACGGGGTCCTCCACAGTGCGGTTTTCTAGAAACTTCGCCACGCACAACCACATTGTGGAATCACCTTCCAGCAATGGTATTTCCGAACCGATACGATATTGAAACCTTCAAGAGCTTATTCCTTTTTAAAAGGCCGACAACGTACTTGCAATTCCCATGGTGTTGGTGAGCATGGGCGGCGGTAATCACTTACCATCAGCCGAGCCGCATGCTCTTTTGTCCCGTGTTATAAAAAAAAGGATACTCTCACTCTGTCCACGATAGGAGCTATTCTGAAGAAACCTCTAATACTCGTTGCGAACTTTATATGTTGAGTACGTATATTTAGGACTATATATGTTTAGGCGTAGTTTATATGTTTAGATAAAGAAAACGTGTAGGAATTAAGTATATTAGGTTATATTAGGATTAGCACTTTGATAACTCGTCTAGTGCAGGAATGCCAATTCGGAAAGTTCCCGCCTCCTCTCTATAATACCCGATTTACACTCAGCCCGAGTGGGCAGGGAAGTGAGCAGCGCGAGAGTGGAAACACTTCCCACGCCACTCGCGCTGCCTGGCGCTCGCTCGATTTTGACGGAACTTTTATTGGCGGGTAGCTGATGCAATAAGGAGTAACTTTGGCTTTTATTTTAGAAAAATAAAGTTAAATTCCACGCGGACGAAGTCGCGGGTACAGCTAGTATTATATATAATTTATACTTTATTATTTTATTTGATATGTATGTTAGTCTATGGTGTTTATGATACGGGTCATTAGTAGTCTGAAATAAATAAATAAAAAATATATATATTATCTTTATATATAAAAATTACGTGTCACGTTGTTTGTCCGCGATGGACTCCTAAACAACTGAACCGATTGCAAATTTGATTTGCTCATTGTGTGAAATTTGATCCAACTTGAAAGATAGGATAGCTTACATCTCAATATAGTCGTAATATTATTTTATTCAAGAACCTTAGCTACAGCAACGCGTGATCAGATTTCTGGTTCATGGTAATAATTGAGACCTTCTAACCATTACAGAAAGAACCACCAGAGCCTGAGCCAGTGGAAATGGAGACTGAAGAACCAGAGCCGGGGAGCGACGAGGAAACTGCTGCCAAAGAGAGGGAGGCTCGCGCGCAGGCCTCCATCAAAGAGAGGGAGAGGGAGGTGCAGCGGACGCTAGCTCCTAGCCTCCGGGATAGAGATAAGGAGAGAGAATATCATAAGAGAGATGAGGCTGAACAGGTGAGGGCTTTTGTCAATAAATAACTATAGACAAATAAAGAACGGCTATTGTTAGTAATGATCTTATTGCTAGCAATGTACCATGTCAGGTTGACCTCCACGCGGTTCCCCCTGGATACCATCGTGATAAAATCTTAGTGAATTTGTCACGATGGCCTAACTGACTTGACTTCATGCACATCTTATCATCCTCCACTGGTGCCCCGCCAGTGTATACCGTTAGCGCAGGCGGGTGCACCAATACATTATCATGTATTAAAAAAATAACTATGGACAATTCAGACAGCTCTTATATGATTCCGTAATAAGTAGAGCTTATATTATGGGTCCTAATAGAAATCTTTGAATTCAAGTTCAAAAATCATTTATTCATGTAGTACATTTTAGCCGCTTCTCGCACGGGTGTACATGTAGTATATATATAAACCTTCCTCTTGAATCACTCTATCTATTAAAAAAACCGCTTCAAAATCCGTTGCGTAGTTTTAAAGATTTAAGCATACATAGGGACGGACAGCGACAGCGACTTTTATACTATGTAATGATTAAGATGCTAAAAACAAATACATATTGATTTAGGAGTATGTTATTGTATACTTTGTATATAATTAAATTGTAATTTTTAAATGTTATTATATAATTGTAATTTGTAAATGTGATATGAAGTTGGTTATTCTAGAAGTCTCTTTTCCAATTATAGAAGTCCATAGTGTAGGACTCTCAAAAATATACGGATCAAAGCCGCGGGCAAAGCTAGTTTAGACTGAATGTCTGTCTGTACATAGAATAACAAGCTACCACACCTACCTCACGCCTTATCCAAACGATGAAAACGAAACGTTAGCGCGTTTTACTTTTCAACTAGCGCCATCTAGTTTGCGGTGTGTGAACTAAACATATGATTGTACAAAAGGAATATGTTTGTATGGAAATTATTAAAATTCTATTGTGATTTTGAATTATTTGTTAGGAATACTTAATTTCATTAATAGGAAATGTATATTTATTTATTTATTTTTAAGTATTACCAACATAAGATAATAGCAATAAAAATATGTCTTGATTCTATACAATTTTAACGGTATTATACTGCTTTCAAATTTATAGCAATATATATAGCAAATATTTTATTCAAATTCAAATTCATAAATCATTTGTTCATGTAGGACATTTTAGCCGCTTATGAACGTAATTTTTTTTATATTATATTTTTTTCCCTACCGTCCAGTTTGAAGGGTGAAAATTTAGGGTTGTATGTATTTTTCAATGCTAAATAATAATAAAATGAATATAAAATATTATGTCGAAAAAATAAATAATATATATTTAGGGGTGGATATCACTTACCACTTAGGGGTATGAAAAATAGATAGTACCCTCTACTGACCTCAGACCTATTGAATATGCATATAAAATTTCATAAAAATCAATCAAGCCGGTTGGAAGGAGTATGGTAACTAACATTGTGACACGAGAATTTTATATATATATATATATGATATTATATATAGTATATATGTTTATCTGTTACAGAATTATAACGCCTTACTGGCAGACCGCGTCAGGGACCCGGACTTGTCGTGGAGAGAAGGGAAGAAGCATCTGAAGAAGGACCATCGATACGCGAACGCTGACGTTCTGACCAAAGAGGATAAGGTAACAACATTAATATTAATATATAATAAAAAGACAGCCTCGGTGGTCTAGTGGTTAGCACGCCGCTTTACTATCCGATGGTCATGCGTTCGATTCCTCGCACGGCACAAACATTTGTATTCATGACTATGATTGTTTGTATCGGTCTGGTTGTTTTCTATGTATAATATGTATGTATTTACGAAAAAAAAAAATTATCTATGTATTTGTATTAGTTATCTAGTACCCATAACACAGGCTTTAGCTAGCTTAACTTGGGTCTAGATGGCGCTGTGTGAATTGTCCCGAGATTATTATTATTATTATTATTATTTTCCAAAAATTCTCATCTCCCCTCTTAAGGAGAGGAGATATTATTATTATTATATCAGTCTAGTACCCATAACACAAGCTCTGCTTAGCTTGGGACTAGATGGCGCTGTGTGAATTGTCCTGAGATGTTATTATTGTAATATTTGTGCTACAATGCGGAAAAGATACGCATCCCTGGTGCGGAGAGTACGTGCCAGTACCAACAACATCCTGAGCATGATGGGCAGGCTGGACTGTGCATACGCACTCCGGCCTGCCGCAGTCCAGCCTGCTAATCATTGCTGTGCTATTTCCAATGGAATGGCACAGCGGTCATTTTTATATATATATGTGAGTGTATATTAGAGTGCGTAGCGATTTCTAAGTTGATTATCGCATGCCTCTTACCTGTTATACTGTAATTATTTATATAAAAAAAACTATCTATTAAAAAGAGCAACACACAAGTTTCTCGCTCATTCTTCTTGAGATGAGTCTGCGTTCCGAATGAGTGGTAGAATCAAAATATGACTATTCAAAAGTAAAAGTGCTTGTAATGAGTTTATTTGAATGAAGATTATTTCTATTTCTATTTTAATGTAATTTAATATTAATTATTGATATTATTTGTATTTTATTTTTGTGTGTATTTTACGTCTGTACGTACTAATGTTAATAATAGTAATATATACTAATGTTAATATAAGAAATGTACTGTAATGTATGTAACAAAATAAGCAAGCAAGCCAGATAATAAATATATTATAATTATTATTAACTGTATCGTAGATTATTACTGTATTATTGTAAACATGTACAACATTTATTTGAAAGAATACGAGCTGAGTTTCTTGTCAGTTCTTCTCATCTCGAAATCACTCCGAACTGACGGTAGATTTGACATATCATAAGAGTCTGTAATAGACCTACATGAATAAAGATATTTTGAATTTGAATTAAATAAAAAAATTACATTTTTCAAAATTATAATCTATAATTGCCTCATTTTGTATAAGTCAATTAAATTAACCACGCCGTCTTAATCATTATCTAAATACTTTTAAAATGATATACAATACTTGTGTGTAAATTTAACACTTTAAAGTAAAAATAATTTAAATAAATTTAATAACTTTAAACGCTCGTCTTGTAGAAAATGTACATTTTGAATAGTGATATTTTTCTATTTAACCGACGATATGTTATCTATACATCTATACATATGAATAAAATTGGAGTGTCTGTTTGTAATATTGAAATAACCGTTTTTTACTACATGCATATGAATATAAATACGGTACATACACCAAAATATGTTATTTTATATTATATATTTATATTCTAACAATTTTTGACTGTCTGTTTGTTTGTTCCGGCTAATCTCTGAAATGGTTGGACCGATTTTGACGGAACTTTTACAGGTAGCTGATGTAATAAGGAGTAACTTAGGCTACTATTATTTTAGAAAAAATCTCTAATGAACTTTTTTGTTAAATTCCAAGCGGACGAAGTCGCGGGTACAGCTAATTAACAATATTGTTTTTATGGAATTTTAATTCACGACCTCGCTGGTTTGTTTACGGTATATTTAAAAATTATGTCTGTCTGTTCTTGCTTATCTCTGTAATGGATAGACCGATTTTGACGGGACTTTCACATACACATAGCTAATGTTATAAACATTTTAATTTTTATCTATTTGTCACTGGAATGGATGAATGTTCAGGTAAAAACTTAGTTACTCAAGTTTCTACCTAAACATTCATCCGTTCCAGCGACAAATAGGTAAAAATTAAAAAGTTTTATTATGTGATCGTGATGTTGATTGTTTCCAGGAGCGGCTGTTCCTGCAACACACGGGCGTGCTGGCCACCAAGCGGCGAGAGAAGCTGCGGGCACTCCTCACGGAGCTGGGCATCGGCTGCACGGCATCCTGGAGAGACGTCCGCAACCAGCTGAAGCAGGAACCCACCGCGCCGCAGTACTCCAGCGCCGGACAGGTACTTCATCATCATCATCTTCATCCTTATCCCATTTATTTGGGGTCGGCGTAATATGTTTTTCGTTTCCATTCATCCCTGTTCGCAGTCATCGCGTTATTTACTTCCTTTCTTACCATATCATCTTTCACACAGTCCATCCATCTCTTTTTTGGCCTTCCTCTGCCCTTATAACCATCCACATTCATTTGTAACATCTTTCTTAAAATATTATCCTCGTTCCTACGCATTACATGTCCATACCATGATAGACGATTACTCTTCAACCTCTCTGACCAACTAGTATTTATTTATATTTAATCGAATTAGATGTTATTGTGCGGAAGTCCATTTCACTACTCGATGGATTTACATTATTTTGTTTAATTCAACCCAAACTAAAAACAATTAAAAATGTATTTTTAATGCCACATAAAAAAATAAAACTATTTTTTTTTACCGAAATAGCGAAAATGTTTTTGGGGTGAACCACCCTTATGAATTAGGGATGTATAAATTAGTTATAAACCTATTCTCAAACAACAGTTTTTTGTATTTATTTTTTTCCTTTTCGACCAGTTCAATTGAGAAGAACTGGCTAGAAACTCAATTGAATTACTTTTTTTTAAAAGCCAGTTTGTTTACAATGTATATTTATATAGGCGTCTATGTCTAACATTAAATGAAAATCCAGTGCATGAACAACTATCGCCATGCACGCTCGTCATTCAAGTAATCGTTTAGTGAGTAATAGGCTTTGCTCAGTAAATATGATTTAACAGATGTTTTGAATTTATTTAAGGGTAATTCCAGTACATTCCCATAAAAGACCTATTGACTTCTTCTAACTTACAATTATTATTTAAAAGAACAACACATAAGTTTCTTGCTCGTTCTTCTTGTGATGAGACAGCATTCTGAATGAGCGGTAGATTTAAAAAATGTGTTATGACTATTCAAAAGTGACAGATTTTTATGAAATTTCATATGCATATTCAGTAGGTCTGAAATCTATTATTTATTTTTCATACCCCTAAGTGATAGGGTTGTCCACCCCTATTATTTAATTTTGTTATAATATGGCATTTTTTATACCCTAAATTTTCACCCCTATTTTTATCACCAACCTCTATTTTGTAATAGCGTTTACGAAGTCAGCTAGTTATGTTATAAGTAATCAATAATTAAAAATAAATGCACCACCAGATGGAACGCGAGTTCCGCGACTACCAGCGTGACAAGCAGTCAGCTGCGAAGACGGCGATGCGGCAGCTGCTGCTGGAGACGCGCTCCATCACGCACAAGAGCCTCGGAGCCGTCAAGCAGAACGGGGCCGCGCTGCAGGCCATACAGGACACGCTCGGACACGACGCCAGGTAAACCTCCATTCGTCATACTCAGGAACGCGCGATTGCTATATAACTTTGACGTTTACAAGGCTTCGAGACCCAGCCTGTCCCTATTTCATGAGAAATTATGTTTAGATGAAGATATGGTCACTCTATTCTCCCAAATTTGAATTTTAAAAACTATATTTATTATAAACATGTTCCACTATTATTGGAAAAAAATACGAGCTGAGTTTCTTGTCAGTTCTTCTCATTTCGATATCATTCCGAACTGACGGTAGATTTGACATATCATAAGAGTCTGTAATAGACCTACATGAATAAAGATATTTTGAATTTGAATTTGAATTTGAATATACATACTACATTTATATTTTTATGAATCACAAATCTCGAAAGCGCGTTTATTTACTCTCGAGAAATTCATATAAGTACCAAACCTATAATTTGTTATAGTAAACACCACCAGTTTTTCTCTGCACAGCCTATGGTTGACTGGTAGAAAATGCCTTAAGGCGTTAAGTCCGCCATATGTACTTTTACCTTGGTATTTTGTGCATTAAAGTTATATAAATAAATAAATAAATAAAATAAACGTAAAAAGTAATCTTATCTTACGTAAAAGTAACTTAAACTTAGGACAGGCTCGGTCTCAAAGCCTTGTAAACGTCAGACGAGGCATTTCTTATTCGACGCACGTTCCCGAGTAGGACAATTTGTCATACTCGGTCACGGGCGTTAGTTAGAATATTGAAACGTAAGAGACAGGACACGATCCCAGGTAATGGTCAATTCGTCATACTCGGGAGCGGGTGACACTTATAAGACGGAAACTTAGAGACAGGACACGCTCGGACACGATGCCAGATAACATTCCACTCGTCATACTCGGGAATGGATGATAGTTATAAGACGGAAACTTAGAGACAGGACACGCTCGGACACGATGCCAGATAACACTCCACTCGTCATACTCGGGAACGGGTGACACTTATAAGACGGAAACTTAGAGACAGGACACGCTCGGACCCGACTCCAGGTAACCCTCCACTCGTCATACAAGTTTCTAGAAAACCGCACTTCCACAGTGGACCGCCATTCATCCAGATGATCAGGATGGTATTTTATTTCTGGCGGGTGGACGGTGGTGAAACTCAGCAGCTGGTATTAATCCGAACAATTCCTCAGAATGTATTACCATTTTTGTGAACTCACAGGTACCTGGCTCTGGACCACATACCTGATGAGCGGCAGCAGATCATCATGACTTACCTCGAGGAGATGGAGAAGAAGGGTCCCCCGCCGCCGCCCACCGCCACTGAGCCGTCGCGGCGGACGAAACAGTGACCAGGTTAGCATTCTGTCTGTCTGTTTATATTTTAAACTAAAAAAAAAAAATTATTACTTATGTCATACTAAGTATTATATATGTATATATATATATTATACCCCCTTCCTTATCCTATTCAAGTTCAAATTCAAAATATCTTTATTCATGTAGGTCTATTACAGACTCTTATGATATGTCAAATCTACCGTCAGTTCGGAATGTTCAGAAGAACTGACAAGAAACTCAGCTCGTATTCTTTTTCAAATCTAAATATATATAACTCAAAGGTGACTGACATAGTGATCTATCAACGCACAGCCCAAACCACTGGACGGATCGGGCTGAAATTTGGCATGCAGGTACATGTTATGACGTAGGCATCCGCTAAGAAAGGATTTTGATTAATTCTAGTAATGTGGATTTATAACCCCATTGCAATGTACAATGTCAGGTTGACCTCCACGCGGTTCCCCCTGGAAATCATCGTGACAAATTCCTGGTGAGCTTGTCACGATGTGCTAACTGACCAGACCTCATGTTCATGTTATCATCCTCCACTGGTGCCCCGCCAGCGTATACCGTTAGTGCAGGCGCGCGCACCATACCATTAACAAACAAAAAAATTTTTTTTTTAAAGCCAATTTATTTACAATGTATATTTATATAGTTGTCTATGTCTAACATTAAATGAAAATCCAGTGCATGAACAACTATTGCCATGCACGCTCGTCATTTAAGTAATCCTTTAGTGAGTAATAGGCTTTGCTCAGTAAATATGATTTAACAGATGTTTTACACCTAGAAGACAATTCTATATAGTATGATTGTTTATATCTTTCTAGATCTTTTCTATGTATATTATGTATGTATTTAAAAAAGAAACATGTATCTATGTATTTATATACGACAGCAACAGATCTGTGCGGTGTGTAATAATATTTTTTTTCTATTTTTTTCAGCAAAGAAATACGTCAAGGGGCGTTACAGTACAGCATAATGTACATTAAAAGTCAACGTGTAGAATAAGTGACGCACTAGTGATAATAAACTGTATGAAATAAATGAATTGATTTGTTTGTGGAGATTTCATTTCCAAAGTAACATGCATTTTCGTTGTACACATTGTAATAAAGTTATTTTTAAAATGTTTATGTTTATTATTACATAACGATATTCCGCGGGTAGGTCTGCTTTTTTATACTACGATGGTCGCAAACAAGCATACGGCCCATATGATGGTAAACAGTTACCGTAGCCTATGGACGCCTGAATCCAACTCGGATGAGCAGCGTTCGGGAAGCTCCGATATATATTTTTGGCCAAATTTCCGCAGTGTCTCAAGACGAAGGTTTACGACCAATGGGTGTTGCCAGTGATGACTTACGGAACAGAGACGTGGTCGCTAACTATAGGCCCCATGAACAAGCTCAGAGTCACTCAGAGGGCTACGCTCAAAATTTCTCTGCGTGATCGAATCAGAAATGAGGAAATCCGCAAAAGAACTAGAGTGACCGACATAGACCGAATAATTGCGACTCTGAAGTGGCAATGGGCAGGGCACATAGCTCCTAGGACAGATGGCCGTTGGGGCAGTAAAGTCCACGAGTGGCGACCACGGACCGGAAGACGCAACGTGGGAAGGCCTCCAGCAAGGTGGACCGACGATCTGGTCAAGATCGCTGGAAGGCATTGGATGCGAGCAGCGCAGGACCGATCGTCGTGGAGATCTTTGGGGGAGGCCTATGTCCAGCAGTGGACGTCTTCCATGCTGCGATGATGATGATAGACGCCTGAGACACCAGGGGTGTCACGTGCGCGATGCCGACTCTTAAGAAACCTTATTATACCCTTCTTGAAAAACCCCATGCTGTAGTCTCGTGAGAAAACCTCGGCAGTAGTTCATTCAACAATGTAAGTGTACGCGGGAGGAAGCTCCTCTGAAACCGCACTGTCCGAGACCACATAGGTTCCAGCGTGTGATGAATTCCATGTCGATGGCGAGCGGTGCGATGGTAAAAAGTAACCGTATGCATATAATACTGCATCCATGTAAGTATCGACGGGAGAAATACTAGTTTACCATTTTTAAGGGTTCTGTGCATATAAGTTTTTTTTATAACACGGGACAAACGAGCATGCGGCTCACCTGATGGTAAGTGATTACCGCCGCCCATGAGCACCAACACCAGGAACTGCAAGTGCGTTGCCGGCCTTTTAAGAAGGAAAAAGCTCTTTTCTTGAAGGTTTCAATATCGTATCGGTTCGGAAATACCATTGCTGGAAGGTGATTCCACAATGTGGTTGTGCGAGGCAAAAAGTTTCTAAAAAACAACCGCACTGTGGAGGACCGCCATTCATGCAGATGATCAGGATGGTATTAGTAAGTATCGTGGTACAAGGGTATATTAAGGTTTTTTAAGGGTCGGCAACGCGTGACACCTCGTGTTTCAGGCGTGCAAAAGCTACCCTTTACCATCAGACGGGCCGTATGCCTGTTTACTACCATCGTAGTATAAGAAAAATATCAAATTCAAAAATCATATATTCATGTAGGACATTTAAAAATTTCTATTTTTTCCCTACCGTCCAGTTCAGTATACAGATTCAATTGAGAAGAACTAGCAAGAAACTGAACTGAATTTCTTTTTATTTTTAAAGCCAGTTTATTTACAATGTATATTTATATGGGTGTCTATGTCTAACTTTAAATGAAAATCCAGTGCGTGAACAACTATTGCCATGCACGCTCGTCATTCAAGTAATCGTTTAGTGAGTTAGGGTTTGCTCAAGAAATATCAAGAAAATCATATTATAAAATTATTTATTAAGATAAAATAGCCTAAGTCTACATCCGTACAACCGTACGAAGTAATAATAACATTCACACAGCGCCATCTAGTCCCAAGCTAAACAGAGCTTGTGTTATGGGTACTAGAAAATATATATTAACATGCTGTACAAATTAGACCTCTAAAGCCTCGGATGAGACTCGAATTCTCCGCGAGGGCAGCTCCCAAACGCGTACAGTTCCTTTAGCGTCGCCTGCAGCTATGCGGCACGATCTGAAAATGTATATATAAAAATGTTTGAGCACAATGGCTGACGCACCCGTCATACTCGTGAACAGGCCTACTGCTCTGTCTATATTCTAGTTCCTGGCACGAGAATTATATATATAAAGAAATTCTTTATAATAATATAATAAAATATTTCAACAATTCAAATTTTGGCGCGTTCCGCGCTGTTGACTGCAAGGAGTGTCAAAGGGAGCTGGCAATAGAAATAACATAAAAATGGATCGTGCAGAAACAAGTGTGCCTGAATAAGGTTATATATAAAATATATTATAAAAAGACAGTAATAGTTGAATAATAATTGTAATAAACTTTAAATGTCGTTTCTTTGTTTACAGAGAAACAAATTTTAGTTTATTTTATAAAGAAACCCTGAAAATATCATTATATATATATATATAGTTCTTTCTTCTTCTTAAATAAATTTACCTTACCCATTGGGGTAAGGTAAATTTATTTTTAAGGGGATTGTTACTAATGTGGACTAATAACCCCATTACTAGCAATGTGCCATGTCAGGTTGACATCGCGGTTCCCCTGGAAACCATCGTGATAAAAAGACCAACTGACCTGATCTCATGCTCATTTCAACTTCCACTGGGACACCAATGGAAGTTGATAGGTAGGGTAAACTGTTAACGCTGGTGCATCATTCCATTATCATCAATAAAAAAAATCTCCATAATGCCCCCCCCCCCCCTGCCCCCGTGACCCCCGTCTCCTGAAAAGCATCTTGGTTAATTTCTGTTGAATTCATCATGATGTTTTTAATATGACCTGACCTCATGCTCATCTTATCCTCCACTGGTGCCCCGCCAGCGTATACCGTTAGCGCAGGCGGGTGTACCATTACATTATCATCTAATAATAGATAATAATAATAATCTCAGAACAATTCACACATCGCCATCTAGACCCAAGTTAAGCTAGCTAAAGCTTGTATTATGGGTACTAGATAACTGATACAAATACATAGATATTTTTCGTATATTATACATAGAATATAGTCTTACCCACTCTGATGAACAATAAGCGATGTAACCGTACTCTCTCCGACAAACCCGTCGACGGGCACCGCGCGTCCGCACGACACGTTGTAAACTGTCAGTGAGTGTTTCCTGTGGGGGTCGCCGTTCAACCCCAGGACTACCACACTCGGGTTGTTGGGCAACCAGCACATGCAGGATATAGGCACGTCGAGGCAGAGTACCTGGAGAAATTTAGCAAAATTAGTAGCACATGTGCTATGTAATATTTCTGTCAACACTCGACACCCTTCCATTAGTGGAGAGGGATGTAACACATTTCAGAGGAGCTTCCTCCCGCGTACACTTAGATTGTGGAATGAACTACCTGCCGAGGTTTTCTCGAGAGACTACAGCATGGGGGTTTTCAAGAAGGGTATATTAAGGTTTCTTAAGGGTCGGCAACGCGTATGCGACACCCCTGGTGTTTCAGGCGTTCATAGGCTACGGTAGCCGTTTACCATCAGATGGGCCGTATGCTTGTTTGCCACCTAAGTGGTATAAAAAAGGAAAAACATAGATTTAAGTTCAGTGTAAAGTCAATCCACGTTACGACTCCGCGTCGAATGTACCAAATAAACTTACTAATGTTGCATATATGGCATCCCTATCTCATTTAAGTGCAAATAAATTTGATTTGATTTGATTTGATTTTAGTTGTACATTGCAATTGTAGATATGGCAACATTTTTAAGAATAAACAGATTACATATGGACGCTACACAATGACTTATTGTTTCATTTATAAATAATAACTATAAAAAATATTCTGATTGCCCTGTTATATAGAACAACTAATATACAATGAATAGTTCTCTCCTCTGCCAAAAAGGTTGTCTGGATGAGATTACTTAATAATAAACAAATAAATAGTACTATTATTACACTTGTGTACTCCTCGAGACACTTCCATTAGTACCTCTCCACATAACATATGCAACGTTTACATTCAGCCGCTTCCACTGCCACTCGCGCTGCCGAAAATATTGCCGGGCGACAACTGACCGAGAGGGCTGAATGTAAAAACACGCTGCCACTCGCGCTGCCAGTCCTTTGACTCGCGCGCGAAAAACCGACAATCGAGGGAGCGCCGGGCAGCGCGAGTGGCAGCGCCAATGACATGGGAAGTGTTTCCACTCGTGTTTACACTCTCGCGCTGCTCACTTCCCTGCCCACTCGGGCTGAGTGTAAATTGGGCAGATTTAAGTTCAGTGTAAAGTCAGTCCACATCACGACTCCGCGTCGAATGTACGCCTCTCTAATAAGCCATGTAGCACATTATGAAATAAACTTACTAATGTACAATAAATAGTACAATTATTACAGCTGTATACTCACTACCTATATACAATAAACAATATATTATGTAGCGACACCTCATCACAACATATATAACGTTACAGTGGTGAGGTGATAACTACCGCGCTACAAACGAATAGATTCATTCCTTATTCAAATAAACTTAAATTTAAGCACTTTTGAATAGTGCTGGAGAAATGAAAAATTACTGCAAAGGGTTACAGAAAAGAAACATTATAAATACTATAGAAAAGAAGCGGGAAAAATGTTGGCCCACTTGATAAGACACTACCAACTTATGAATAATATTATCAAAGGAAAAAGGTGAAGACCAAGACACAGCTATATGAAGCAGATTAAGGAAAAAGTTGGAGTCGTGTCGTATCAACATCTAAAGAGATCGAGGAAAATGGCAAAGGGGAAAGTGAAGAGACACACCTATATAAAGCAGATAAAGGAAAAAGTTGAAGTCGTGGATTATCAACATCTAAAGAGATCATGGAAAATGACATGAGTGCAAGAAGGATCCAGCCGTATCCGTCAGGCGGGAGTTGGCCTTCCGCTCTATAAGTCCTTCCTTTGGTTTGGAGTGCCATCTGCACTCGCCCCTTACCGTCCGGTGAAGCAGTCAAGTCCAGGAACATTAGAGTAGTTAAAAAAAACGATCCAGCGTCATAGGCTGACGGTGTACACCCTGAATTACGTCTAGAAGGTTGTGAATTCAAATCCGACACAAAAAAAAGCTTTGTGACTGACTGACTGACTGAAGTGACTGATTCTCCAGAAGGAAACGCTTTATTAAAAATAGATATATTTGTAAATTCAAATTTGGGAGAATAGTTATTATAGATTAGAAACTTCGATACTTAAATATACTTACTTTTATCGGAGCTGATTGGTTTACATCATAAACTTTTAATTCCGAGTCTATAGACACGGAAGCGAAGACTGCAGGTCTCTGGAAACTGAACGCCACCTCCAAAACGCAAGTAGCATGTCCATCCAGCACTTCGTATACTGGATCTAGCATACTGCTATCAGCGATCTGCCGACACGAATTACTTCTACAAAGGTACAAGGCCCCAGACTTAGTTCCAGCGACGAAAACGTCATCGGGTAGTTTTTCTTCGGAGGGTCGCAATGGACAGGTTTTTATGAAGTCAAAACATGTAATATCTGGAGCTATCATATTTCTAGAACCATTTAGAAAGTAAGAGACGACGTTCTCGAATATTTTAGTGGTGGAATTAACCTGCCAAACATTTATAGTGCCGTCACTTCCAGAAGAGAAGAGAATTTGATCGGACGCGCCTCGTCTCTTGCCCGAATTCTTTATTTGCATAGTCAAAAATACGTTTGCTAGAGTAGGATCCGCCCAGAGCAGAGCAGAAACTCTTTTAGACCCATGACAACCAGATGGGGAAGTCAATTGGCTGCCGTGGAAGTCCGCATTCTGTAAGTTACAAATAACAACTTCCCCTGAACTTGTAGCGTAAGCTAACAAAGCAGTTACTGATGGATGATATTTGACTACAGTAACGCAATTCTTTTCTGTGATATCCAAAGTTTGGACGAATTTATCGCCAGCCGATCGTTTAATTGTAAAGATTCTGATTTGCCCCTCATGTTCGCACCAGTTTTCATGGTGGGAGTAACCGATAGATACGGCTAGCGAGTTACCAGCGCTGCTCCAGGATACGCTAAGCACGCAAGGCGATTCGTGGTCACCGCTACAAAATTGTTCAATTTTAACATTTATTTCCTGGACTAATTTCGCGGAGATGATTTCCTCGTCGTCGGAATCTGATGAATTATCAACAGGTATGTCGTTCTGGTCTAATTGCTCTATCATAGCTGGTACGACTCGACGGAGGAACTCGTTCAGTCCAGGAGGTGGGTATTCCTTCAAGGTATAGTCTGTGGCGGTCAATTCATCAGGAGTGACATTGCAGCCGATGTCAACAGATATGTTTGTTTGTGATGAAGATCCTACTTCACGAAATTCACTAGTCTGAGTTCCGCTGTCAGATTCAGAGGTTTTAGTTCTAGTTATGGAGTCGAAACCGGTCGCTTCACTATCGTATCCGCTCAGATTCGACATTTTTAGCAATAATGCTACGACGGTTTTGCGTTTTGTTTATACGCGTTGCTATGGTAACTGAGTTTCTTGGTTCAAATGTTTTGGCATTTGAGTGACTGAAAAATTGATTTTTTTTAATTATAATTATAGCTGTATGTACGCGACACGTTATAGCGCGGGAAAGCCAGCACTGCATTTAACTATTTTTCGTGTTCATTCTTTCACACGTCTTAATAATAATAATAAATTTTTATTCATAAATATATAGTACAATTTTATACATTTAGTCCCGGCTTACGAAATAAGTAAACCGGAACCACTATAGCCAGTTCCCTCCAATATACTATAAACATTTTAAGTACATTTGTATATACTCATGTTATTTTTCATTCTTTTAAAATTTAAATGTGTTGTTTTTTCTAAAGACATGTTTAAGATTTATAAATTATTAATAACTTTATAATTATGTTTTTTCTCTATGGTCAGATATCCGCCATTTTGCAATAATAGTTAATTAATTTATTACAAAGACTGAAAAAGCCGCTAAATCACTCCGTATTGTTTGTTGTACGCGTGAATGCGCTCACATGTTGCGCGCGCGGTATTTCTCGTTCTTTGTTTACATTTACATGCATATTCTTTCCCGCGTTTAAAGGTAGCTATGGTAACATAACCTATAATTGCAGTAATTTTAGATTATTCTGTTTGTCAGATATTTTCAAGTAAAATATCTAGTTAAACGTACGGATAGTGATAAAAAAATCATGAACCAAACCTTATTATGAACAAATATTTTATTAATTTGATGTTATGAACGCAACTCGTGACGTCTCGCCGGGTATATTTCAATTTAACAGGGAGACATCTTGAAATAGTATAAAACAAAGTCGCCGCTGTCTATTTCTTTATATCTTTTAAACTACGCAACGGATTTTAATGCAGTTTACAGCAATAGATAGTGAGTGATTCAAGAGGAAGGTTTATATGTATAATACATGCGTGTTATAGTATAGAACTAGGCGAGAAATTTAAAGATTTGTAAGGCGTGCGTAGCGGTTGGATAGCTGATTGTAATACTTACGATACTTACTAATATTATAAAGCTGAAGGGTTTGTTTGAACGCGTTAATCTCAGAAACTACTGATTCGAATTGAAAAATTGTTTTTGTGTTGGATAGTCCATTTGTCGAGGAAGGCTTTAAGATATATAACATTACGCTACGACCAATAGGAGCGGAGCTGCAATGAAATATATTGCAACAGGTGGGGAAATGAAACGCAGACGAAGTTGCACGGGTCAGCTAGTAACATAAAATAAAACGTTATTTTATCGTATATTCTTTATTGGTCTTTATTTATATACAATTAGATAAAACGAAGTGGAAATAACAAAAACAAGAAATGAAGTTCCGTAATATTTATTTACAATTGTAATTTATAACATGTAATTTTTTTAACAATTTTAAAATCGAATATTGTAAACTCATCAAACTCGTCCGCGTCTGTACCTCAGTCTCAGCTATTTGAGCCGCCAAGCAGCTTGCTTTGTAAGCTGGTTGGTTGTAGGGTGCAGATTAGGAAGTGAAATTACAGGATAAGAGGCGTGACATCTTAGTGCTCCGTATTTATATTACTATGAATGAAGAGGTCTTAAATTTTAGGAATGGCAACCCTATATAATTGTCATGTGTGATACTAAATAACATAGACAAGGTACTAGGACAACATGAGCTTGTATGTAGTTTTCTATGGCATTTAAATGTCATTGTGTGAGACTAACTAATAAAGTCAAAGTACCAGGACAACATGAGCTTGTAGATAGTTTTCTATGGCATTTAAATGTCATTGTGTGAGACTAACTAATAAAGTGAAAGTACCAGGACAACATGAGCTTGTAGGTAGTTTTCTATGGCATTTAAATGTCATTGTGTGAGACTAACTAATAAAGTCAAAGTACCAGGACAACATGAGCTTGTAGATAGTTTTCTATGGCATTTAAATGTCACTGAGTGAGACTAACTAATAATGTCAAAGTACCAGGACAACATGAGCTTGTAGGTAGTTTTCTATGGCATTTAAATGTCATTGTGTGAGACTAACTAATAAAGTCAAAGTACCAGGACAACATGAGCTTGTAGGTAGTTTTCTATGGCAGTTAAATTACTGTCCGCGTGTGTACCTCAGTCTCACCTATTTGAGCCGCCAAGCAGCTTGCTTTGTAAGCTGTTTCAGTTGTAGAGTGCAGATTAGGAAGTGAAATTACAGGATAAGAGGCGTGACAGCTTAGTATTCTGGAATGGGATCACATGAGTGATATCACAGTTATTACATGATAACGTGATATCTGTTCATGTCAAGCCGGCTACCACTTACTATCAGTTCATTTATAGAAATAATTTTTATTCAAATAAACTTAATATAAGCACTTTAGAATAGTCATATTTTGATTGTACTACTCATTCGGAACGCAGACTCATCACAAGAAGAACGAGCGAGAAACTTGCGTGTTGTTTTTTTAAATAAACGTACAGATTTTTTTAGGATTTTAAGGTACCTCATTCTTTTTAATTTGATGAGCTAATAATTGGTTGTTCATTATTACTACATACTAGTCGCGCCTCCAACCTTTCCTCAACTCTATCTTCCTCCTGTAAAGAAAGAAAAAATTCACCAACAATTCTTTATGGATTATTTCAAATATGAAGAAGTTTAAAAGTAGACTAGGCTGTATGGTCTAAGGATCTTTGCCTGTTCCATCACTGGAAGGAGATGGACGAATATGAAAAAAAAAAATCTTTATGGATTATTATTTTGTTTAATTCCGTTACCATTAGCATGCGTGAGACTACACACATTAAATGTATACGAAAATATATACGGTATAAACATAAAAAAATAAAAATTGTCTGTCTGTCTGTTTGTCCTTGCTAATTTATTTATTTAAAACTATTGAATTTTGAACAATAGGTGGGCTTAATGCTAATAGCTTTCTCTACCAGCCAACCTTAGGGAGTGCAGAGATACTTGAAGGCGAAGGTTACTCTCTGAAACAGCTGGGCTGATTTTGATGGGACTTACACTCGCAGATACTTACTATTATGAGGACTAACATAGGCTACTTTTAAGAAATGTTATTTAGTTCAATAAAAAAAGTCGGGCTCCGCGGTGCGTGCACGTGCCCCAGGTGCCTGGCCGTATGGTATACTCACCACAGCCGGCCGTGGTCGTCCCGCGGTGCGGTGCACGTGCCGCAGATGCCTGGCCGCGTAGTGCCTGCAGCGGTAGGCACGTGCACACACGGGGCACACGTGCGCGGCGCCGCCATGACACGTGCTGCGGTGCACGTGCAGACTGTTGTTGGCCTTGAACGTTGCCGGACACTGTGGGCACTGGACATAATAATAAAAATAACAATTATTAATGAATGAGGACACTGGAGACTTCTAAGAGGATATAATAATCATTATTAATGAAGACACTAGGAAGCTTCTGAGCTTCTGAGAGGAGCTTGGCTGGTTACTTTAATAGTCTCGGCTACGTACGTATACGTACTACGGCAATGTACGTATTGGATAACAGAGTCCAATGAATGAAACGAATGAAACGAATGAAACGAGTGAAACGAATGAAACGAATGAAACGAATGAAACGAATGAAATGAATGATATGATTGAAATGATTGAAATTATTGAAATGAATTAAATGAATTAAATGAATGCAATTATTGAAATTAATGAAATTAATGAAATTAATAAAATTAATGAAATGAATGAAATTAATGGAATTAATTAAATTAATGAAATTAATGAAATTAATGAAATTAATGAAAATAATGAAATGAATGAAATTAATGAAATTAATGGATTGAATGAAATAAGTGATATGAACGAAATTAATGAAATTAATTGAAGTGATTGAAGTCAATGAAGTGAATGATGTCAATGCAGTGATTGAAGTCAATGAAATGATTGAAGTGATAGAAGTAATTGAAGTGGAAGTAGTCAATGAAGTGATTGATGTTAATGAAGTGATTGAAGTCAATGAAGTGAATGAAGTCAATGCAGTGACTGAAGTCAATGAAGTGATTGAAGTCAATGAAGTGATTGAAATGAATGAAATGAATGAAATGAATGAAATGAATGAAATGAATGAAATGAATGAAATGAATGAAATGAATGAAATGAATGAAATGAATGAAATGAATGAAATGAATGAAATGAATGAAATGAATGAAATGAATGAAATGAATGAAATGAATGAAATGAATGAAATTAATGAAATTAATGAAATTAATGAAATGAATGAAATGAATGAAATGAATGAAATGAATGAAATGAATGAAATGAATGAAATGAATGAAATGAATGAAATGAATGAAATGAATGAAATGAATGAAATGAATGAAATGAATGAAATGAATGAAATGAATGAAATGAATGAAATGAATGAAATGAATGAAATGAATGAAATGAATGAAATGAATGAAATGAATGAAATGAATGAAATGAATGAAATGAATGAAATGAAATGAGTGAAATGAATTAAATGATTGAAATGAATTAAATGAATGCAATTAATGAAATTAATAAAATTAATGAAATGAATGAAATGAATGAAATGAATGACATGACTGAAATGACTGAAATGACTGAAATTAATGAAATTAATCAAAGTATTGGAATTAATGAAATTAATGAAATTAATGAAATTAATGAAACTAATGAAATTAATGAAACTAATGAAATTAATGAAATTAATGAAATGAATGAAATAAGTGAAATGAATGAAATTATTTGAAGTGATTGAAGTCAATGAAGTGAATGATGTCAATGAACTGATTGAATTCAATGAAGTCAATGAAGTGAATGAAGAGATTGATGTTAATGAAGTGATTGAAGTCAATGAAGTGATTGAAGTCAATGAAGTGAATGATGTCAATGAAGTGATTGATGTTAATGAAGTGTTTGAAGTCCATGAAGTGAATGATGTCATTAAAGTGATTGAAGTCAATGAAGTGAATGAAGTCAATGAAGTGAATGAAGTCAAGGATTTGATTGAAGTCAATGAAGTGTATGAAGTGATTGATGTTAAGGAAGTGATTGAAGTCAATGAAATGAATGAAGTCAATTAAGTGATTGAAGTCAATGTTGTGATTGAAGTCAAGAAAGTGATTGAAGTCAATGAAGAGATTGAAGTCAATGTAGTGAATGATGTCAATGAAGTGATTGATGTTAATGAAGTGATTGAAGTCAATGAAGTGAATGAAGTCGATTAAGTGATTGAAGTCAATGTTGTGATTGAAGTCAAGAAAGTGATTGAAGTCAATGAAGTCAATGAAGTGATTAAATTCAATGAAGTCAATGAAGTCAATGAAGTCAATGAAGTCAATGAAGTCAATGAAGTCAATGATGTCAAGGAATTGATTGAAGTCAATGAAGCGAATGATGTCAATGAAGTCTATGAATGAAGTGATTGAAGTTAAAGAAGTCAATGAAGTGATTGAAGTCAAGGAAATGATTGAAGTCAAAGAACTAATTGAGGTCAATGAAGTGTAAGAAGTGATTGATGTTAATGAAGTGAATGAAGACAACGAAAAGATTGAAGTCAATGAAGTGAATGAAGAGATTGATGTTAATGAAGTGATTGAAGTCAATGAAGAGATTGAAGTCAATGTAGTGAATGATGTCAAAGAACTGATTGAAGTCAATGAAGTGAATGAAGAGATTGATGTGAATGAAGTTATTAAAGTCAATGAAGAGATTGAAGGCAATGAAGTGAATGATGTTAAAGAACTGATTGAAGTCAATGAAGTGAATGATGTCAATGAAGTGATTGATGTTAATGAAGTGATTGAAGTCAAGGAAGAGATTGAAGTCAATGAAGTGAATGATGTCAAAGAAGTGATTGAAGTCAATGAAGTGATTGAAGTCAAGGAAGAGATTGAAGTCAATAAAGTGAATGAAGAGATTGATGTTAATGAAGTGATTGAAGTCAATGAAGAGATTGAAGTCAATGAAGAGATTGAAGTCAATGAAGTGAATGAAGTCAATGAAGTGATTGCTGTTAATGAAGTGATTGAAGTCAAGGAAGAGATTGAAGTCAATGAAGTGATTGATGTTAATGAAGTGATTGAAGTCAATGAAGAGATTGAAGTCAATGAAGTGAATGATGTCAATGAAGTGATTGATGTTAATGAAGTGATTGAAGTCAAGGAAGAGATTGAAGTCAATGAAGTGAATGATGTCAAAGAAGTGATTGAAGTCAATGAAGTGAATGATGTCAATGAAGTGATTGATGTTAATGAAGTGATTGAAGTCAAGGAAGAGATTGAAGTCAATGAAGTGAATGATGTCAATGAAGTGATTGATGTTAATGAAGTGATTGAAGTCAAGGAAGAGATTGAAGTCAATGAAGTGAATGATGTCAAAGAAGTGATTGAAGTCAATGAAGTGATTGAAGTCAATTAAGTGAATGATGTCAAAGATCTGACTGAAGTGAAAGAAGTCAATGAAGTGATTGTTGTCAATGAAGTGAATGAAGTCAATGAAGTGATTGATGTTAATGAAGTGATTGAAGTCAAGGAAGAGATTGAAGTCAATGAAGTGAATGATGTCAAAGAAGTGATTGAAGTCAACGAAGTGATTGAAGTCAATTAAGTGAATGATGTCAAAGATCTGACTGAAGTGAAAGAAGTCAATGAAGTCATTGTTGTCAATGAAGTGAATGAAGTCAATGAAGTGATTGATGTTAATGAAGTGATTGAAGTCAAGGAAGAGATTGAAGTCAATGAAGTGATTGATGTTAATGAGGTGATTGAAGTCAATGAAGAGATTGAAGTCAATGAAGTGAATGATGTCAATGAAGTGATTGATGTTAATGAAGTGATTGAAGTCAAGGAAGAGATTGAAGTCAATGAAGTGAATGATGTCAAAGAAGTGATTGAAGTCAATGAAGTGATTGAAGTCAATTAAGTGAATGATGTCAAAGATCTGACTGAAGTGAAAGAAGTCAATGAAGTGATTGTTGTCAATGAAGTGAATGAAGTCAATGAAGTGAATGAAGTCAATGAAGTGATTAAAGTCAATGAAATGATTGAAGTGATAGAAGTAATTGAAGTGAATGAAGTCAATGAAGTCAATGATGTCAAGGAATTGATTGAAGTCAATGAAGTGATTAAAGTCAAGGAAGTGATTGAAGTCAAAGAAATGATTGAGGTCCATGAAGTGTATGAAGTGATTGATGTTAATGAAGTGAAAGAAGACAACGAAAAGATTGAAGTCAATGAAGTGAATTAAGACAAGGAAGTGATTGAAGTCAATGAAGTGAATGATGTTAAAGAACTGATTGAAGTCAATGAAGTGAATGATGTCAATGAAGTGATTGATGTTAATGAAGTGATTGAAGTCAAGGAAGAGATTGAAGTCAATGAAGTGAATGATGTAAAAGAAGTGATTGAAGTCAATGAAGTGATTGAAGTCAATGAAGTGATTGAAGTGAATGAAGTCAATGAAGTGATTGAAGTCAATGAAGTGATTGAAGTCAATGAAGTGAATGAAGTCAATGAAGTGATTGATGTTAATGAAGTGATTGAAGTCAATGAAGTGATTGAAGTCAATGAAGTGATTGATGTTAATGAAGTGATTGAAGTAAATGAAGAGATTGAAGTCAATGAAGAGATTGAAGTCAATGAAGTGAATGATGTCAATGAAGTGATTGATGTTAATGAAGTGATTGAAGTCAAGGAAGAGATTGAAGTCAATGAAGTGAATGATGTCAAAGAAGTGATTGAAGTCAATGAAGTGAATGATGTCAATGAAGTGATTGATGTTAATGAAGTGATTGAAGTCAAGGAAGAGATTGAAGTCAATGAAGTGAATGATGTCAATGAAGTGATTGATGTTAATGAAGTGATTGAAGTCAAGGAAGAGATTGAAGTCAATGAAGTGAATGATGTCAAAGAAGTGATTGAAGTCAATAAAGTGATTGAAGTCAATTAAGTGAATGATGTCAAAGATCTGACTGAAGTGAAAGAAGTCAATGAAGTGATTGTTGTCAATGAAGTGAATGAAGTCAATGAAGTGATTGATGTTAATGAAGTGATTGAAGTCAAGGAAGAGATTGAAGTCAATGAAGTGAATGATGTCAAAGAAGTGATTGAAGTCAATGAAGTGATTGAAGTCAATTAAGTGAATGATGTCAAAGATCTGACTGAAGTGAAAGAAGTCAATGAAGTCATTGTTGTCAATGAAGTGAATGAAGTCAATGAAGTGATTGATGTTAATGAAGTGATTGAAGTCAAGGAAGAGATTGAAATCAATGAAGTGATTGATGTTAATGAGGTGATTGAAGTCAATGAAGAGATTGAAGTCAATGAAGTGAATGATGTCAA